CAGACCACTTTGATTTCTATTTGAACAAGCAGAAGAGTCAAGCAGTATTTGGTGACCCTATAAGGACGGCACGGGAAGAGTCCCACTGGGTTTCCGTTGGAGGTGTTGTTGACTTGTCGGCTTTTCAGAAAGAATCACGAAGGCGTCAAGGTGGACACCAACCATACACACTGACTTCACCGACTTCCTAGGACGGATGTGTGCTACTGGGTAGCAAACAGAGGTCAGACTACATACCTAGCAAGACTGGAGAGAGGGAACTATTCGCATTTGATGGATTTTGGAAAAAGGTGTCTCACTAAAAAGCAAAAGTAAAGTTGTTTCAGTGCCTCCACCAGTTTTCTCCCAAATTTTCACCGAAGATCGATTCCACAGGTGGATCTGGGGTCAATAAGCTCCCGGTCCGTGAGAAGGAAGGGAATGTTCTCGGAATTGGAGTTTCTCCTAAGATGTTTTCTAGAGCTCTGCTCTATCCACTACTTCCAGGATTATCAAGTTGATTCTAGGAAGTTTCGTAAATTGACGACAATTTATTCAATTATGTATTGTTGCCTGTGCCTGAATACCGTATACGAGACAAGGTAGGACATCGAATGGAGGAAATGAAAGCGTAGGAACAAAAGTTTAAAAAAAGAACGATTATCCTCATTGAAAGAAATCTTTCCGAATGTTTTCGAAAAATTGGTTGGAAATGCGTCAATAGACGGTTCCGAAAGGAAATTCTACTTCTAATTACTGTTCTATTTCTAAAAGTACACCTATCCAGTAGTGAACGCAATTGCTACAATCGTGTTGACTTCGCTTTTAGCAGACCTTGTCCTTATCAAGTCCATCACCTACCATCTGAAGACGAAAAGTTCAGGAAACCTTGAACTTCCCCTAACGTTTGCATCTAATTTGGGGCCAATTCACTCACCCATCCTTCTAAAGTCGGTAACTGGGTGAAGCCAGCCGAAGTTCGCCTATCAGCACTCTGAAGGCGACAGCACAGAGGATATTTGGAAGTCGTCAACAAAGTAGATAAATTCTAGTTACAGTATACAACCAGCTGCCAAAAAATTAGTTATAGAAAACAAAAATCCAAAATTAAACAAAAGAAGGTGGAAAAAACTGCAATTTGTCGATATCCTACAGTATGATTTCTAGGGAGATATCGAAGATGATTAAATGCTTTTCCAGCGCTTTGTTTTTAAGTTGACCATCTAGGAACATACTTAACTGGGAACTTATACACTTATAGAACACTTAATTGTAACAAAAATACCAAGTTCAATTACAAATCACATTGCTTCGAATATTCTACAGTATTTATCTACAAGGAAGTCAAATTCCATCTGGGATACTGGATACTGTATAAAGAAAAATCCGCATTTGTGATTTTGCTAAGGCAACAATATGGAGCGAGCATTTCTGAGAGATCGAATTCTGGGAAAGGCAATGAGATGGCACTAAGTGCATCCTCAGAAACTATTCTGTTGATTTAACGAGTACAGATAAGTGCATGGCTTAGTAAACAACCCAAATGGCAGTAGGGATTCCTAGTAAATTCCGAAACTCCTACATGCCTCTCGGGAGAGCTTAGCTGGCTTCTGTAGGCACGCAGCCAAGAAGCCAACTGGCTTACGATCTGGATGGAACAAAGAAGGAGTAAAGTAAAATTAAATTGAAGTGAACTGAAGGGCAGCGTTCCTCTGTCTTTGCCTATGTGATGTTTGTCGGCTTACGACCCTTCTATGTACATAAGTAATTGCCTCTGCAGCAATTACGACAGCATTGATTCAGTGCTGAGTGTGGTCGAGATGAAGAATCGACTCCTCTGTCATGGAGAGGAGAGCCCGAGCATAGCAAGCTGAGCTGTGGGGTATGCCAGTGATATCCCCCAAAAGGGCTCATCTTACACATGGGCAGATTACAAGCCCTAGGCTCAGTCTGGAGCGATTTAAGTAATCTATCCAAAAAAAGTTCCCTAAATCCAGAAAATCCGTACAAATACTGATTGTGGCCTAACAATTAAAACTGAACAAATTAGTAGAAACTACGGTAAAAGCGATAAGAACGGTTGCACCCATAGAGCCTTCCAAGCCGATGACCAATTTTGGTAATTTCCTGTTTCATGGACC